TTTAGTTTCTTTTCAAATGTAAGTAGATTTTTATATGTTTTCTAATACAACGTCGTTTGGAGGTTATTATAATGCGTGCTTTTCAACGATTTTTACAAATTTAAATAACTTTTCATTCAACATTTTCAATTCCAAAATTGGTTTGACAGTTCATTGTCCCAGCAGCTGCGTCGATGCGTCTACCTATATTCTTCTACCATGGGCAGACCTCTATACTTGCAATTTTTTCAAAGTTGGCCTACCTTCTCTTCATTGTACCATGGCTATTACCATCAGCCTTTGAAAATAAACAGTACACAAACATAGTGTACTGTACCGGTACACTACCGCTAAAAATTTTTTTGTGATACTGTACCGGAACACAACGATGATCGTAGTGTACCGCAATCGGAGCGCTAAAAAATCGTAGTGTATCGCAGTCGGAACACTAAAAAAACGTAGAGTACCACATGCACCATATTAAAAAAACGAAATCATAAAACTGGTTTTAAACACCCAGCCATACTTTGTAAAATATTTAATTTTTACACCTACATTCATGGTACAATCAAGAAAAGGTAGGTCAACTTTGAAAAAATTGCAAGTATAGAGGTCTACCTGTTTGGCTTGTAATGTCAGAATTAGTATCAAAATAATAAAAAATCAAACAACTTGTTGCATTTATTTTGAATAAATAATTGAAAACCGCGATAACTGAATGAAAGGTCAACACTTCTTTTCAAAATCATATAGTATATATCTCTAAAGGATTATTTCGCTACAAAAACTCTAGATTTTGTCGATGCATACGTTGAAATAAACATTTTGAAAACACCCGAAATTAAATATTTTCTGAACAATTTTGTTGTTATTGAAAAGAAAACCCATACATAAACAAATAAAGATGACATATTAAGCCAAGAAAATAAATAAATTAAAATCATATGTACCATGCCTACATTCACCTACAGGTAAATTATTTGCATAATAACACATTACAACCATGGTAGAAAAATACAGGTAGATGCATCAACGCTTGGGAGCATTGATATGTCAAAATTTTTTAAATTTCTTTTCAAATATAAGTAGATTTTTATATGTTTTCTTATACGACACAAATCGTGGGTTGTAAAGATATGCATTTTTCAACAATTTTTACAAATTTAAAAAATTTTTCATTCAACATTTTTAATTCCAAAATTGGTTTGACAGTTCATTGTCCCAGCAGCTGCGTCGATGCGTCTACCTATATTCTTCTACCATGATTACAATGAACCCACTAAAATAACCTTTTTCGCGAAAAATTAAAAATTTTAATTTTCAATGGTTAAATACAAATTAGTTGTGTTCCAGAACCTACAAATTAGTACTAATTCTGCTACAACGCGTTCCCGTAGAAACTAGCAAAACTTGCAGCTCTCTCGAGAAAAAAATGGCGCTGAGTGGTGCACATTTCTGCTTGTTTTAGCTACATGAATTTGGCCGAGCAGAAATGTGCATATTGTAAATTTTACATTTAATTGGCAGGGCTAACAAGGTTGAAAAATGTATTGATACATTTCAATGTTCGCGCGTCACAACAAAAATAAAGAAAATGATCAACTTAAAAACTAAAGGAAAACCTAATATTTGTCGTGCAAAAAACAAAAAGAGAAATTATGGAGCAACTGATGTATTCACCTTTGGATGATTCCAGCAGTGAAGAGGACTGGCTGAATGAGGAATCAGATTATTAATTATTATTATAGGTCGTTAATTTTAACTAATCGTCTTCAATACTCTTTTTAAATTTTGGCGTCCTTTTCAGAAAGGTTTCACCAGTCCGATTAAGACAGCTTTCTTTTGGAATTTTGACATTTTATCACATTTCTGCTAATTTTCCGTTCCCTTTTTTTGAGCACACCTAAATGAGAATGACATTTCAAACTGTTTTCTCTTCTGCTAGTTTTACTACTAAAAAAGTACTCGAACACAACTATTATTATCACTTCAGATTTGGTCCTCTTTTATTCTTTCTACCAATTCCCATATTTTTCTACTTTTGCAACCAATCTAAACATACATGACAAATAAATAAATTCAGCTTTTATTTTCACAATATTGTATTGTATTTGTAATTTTTGCATTATCAAAAATATCAAACATCTAATTTTTCTCACAAATCCTAAACAACACATATGTGGTACACTACCGGTTCATTATTTTTTTAATGTTACGCCATGTGGTACACTACGATTTTGTAGTGCTCCGACTGCGGAACACTACGATTTCGTAGTGCTCCGACTGCGAAACACTACGATTTCGTAGTGCTCCGACTGCGGTACACTACGTTTTTTAGTGCTCCGACTGCGGTACAGTACGATACTCGTTGTGCTCCGGTACAGTATCACTAAATATTTTTTAAGGGTTGTGCTCCGGTACGGTACATTATCTTAGTGTACTACTCCACCTCGGAACGGTACGGAACACTACGGTACAGTAGCATACTGTTTATTTTCGAACGCTGACTACTATAGCTCAATAAGAAATGTTGCCCAACTTCAATGAAACTAGAAAAATGCAACTCTGTGCTGGAGTCTTATAGCGTCAAATAGACTTTTAAATATACATTAGTTGGTTGTGTTTATTTTTCATTTTTTAACAAACTTCTTATATTGGGGAAAAACCGCGAAACAAGTATGGTATTTTGGGGCTATTCTCCAAGATTGAATCTAAAATAGTAGAAAAATACAGATTTATTCCAAAACTGTACAATGAGTTGCCCATTATCGTCGTAAATATCCATTTATTTTGCAACCAAAGATATGAAATATTATTGTGTTTTTTACTCAAAACAATACACACAAGTACACAAAATGTGCATACGTTTTGACAGATTAACGGCACCAAAAGAAAAAAATATAAATAGCTTTGTTCTACCTTCTTTAATTTTGCCATGGCTACTACAAGAAAAAATTATATGCTAGGAACACAATTGGAGCGAACGACGAATTTCGCCCTACGCGGCGACAAAATGAGCCGCGAAAATTCGTCGTATGGAACACAATACCGACGAAATTATAAAACAGCTGATGAAGTTGTTTACTTTTTGCTCATTTGTTGACTACAATGAATTATACAAGAACACATAATTCTTTACGTTCTCTATTATAATTTCACTTATGTCCATCTTCTCTATTATAAATTCACTGATATCCATCTTCACTCAGGCGCAAGTACACAAATAAATAAACAAATTAATTATGTTTTTTTTTTTATACGAGTAACAGATAGTAGAGTGACCATAACAAATTTTAAAGTAAAAAGTAACTTTATTTACTAAAACACATAAAATTCGTACAAGTATGGCCACCTTGTACTGTTTTGTTCGCCGGTCGCCGGCGTATGAAATAGAAATAAAGCTAATTGAGTTCGCGGCGACCGACGAAATTTTCGCCGGTGCCGTGATTGTGTGCACTTCCATATACACATATGTGTTTTATTTTTGACGTCGAACCATGGCAGAAGAATACAGGTAGATGCATCAACGCTTGGGAGCATTGATATGTCAAAAAAAATTAAATGTTTTTTCAAGTATAAGTAGATTTTTATATGTTTTCTTATACTATGTCAGCCGGAGGCTATTATAATTCGCGTTTTTCAACAATTTTTACAAATTTAAATAATTTTTCATTCAACATTTTCAATTCCAAAATTGGTTTGACAGCTCATTGTCCCAGCAGCTGTGTCGACGCGTCTACCTATATTCTTCTACCATGCGACGAACATACGCCCCGAAAAAATTCGTCGTTCGCTCCAATTGTGTTCCTAGCAATAATCATGTGATTTCTTTGCCCTTCTGAAAAATATATTGTATATTGCAAGGTAGATGTACTAGGTAATCGCATCAGCCCAGCTGACGGCACCATTAAATGTCAAAACAAATTGTTGTAATGATGAATTCGCCCTAAATGAATGCAACAACAAATTTGTTTATGTTGTCTTCCCTAAAAGTACCTTTTAATAATATTTCAAATAATTTAAGAGCAAGTTTAGAGTGAAACCAGTAAAAAAATAAAAGAAAATAAAGGAAGGAGATTAGAATGGAGTGCAGGTTTAAGAATTAAGTTAGCCTCAACATCTAAGATTCTCAAAGCACATCACGGGGAATAGTGCAAGAATTCGACTCTTGCCATTTGCAGTTCCGGAAAACTTTCGGTTTAAACCAGTAAAATATAGTCATTATAAGTTTCTTGGTTTAAAAAATATCGCAATACTACAATTAATACTTATTTGTTTTACAATAAAAACTTTTATTGCGACGTTCGATTACGACGAGAGGCACACAAAATAAAATGTAAACAAACACCTCGTTTCTGATTGGTTGAAACAAATTTGCCGCAACCTTTTAATGTCATGGCGAATCTATGTTTTTCGCCTTAGATGCCAATTTTGACATTTGAGGGGACCACAAAAGTTGCTTTGTTGTAGCAATTCGCCGATGCGGTTACCTGTTAGATCTACCTTGGTATATTGGGTAGAACTATGAACTCATCGCTAAATATTGAAAGCAATTATTAACAACCATGAATAAGGAAAACGTAAGTTAAGAAGAAAAATAAATAATTTGTTATCGTTTATTCAGGTTTATTCACGATTGAAACTATTTTCCTACTAATTTGAATGGCAAATCTGGTTTTATTCTTCTATGCGGTCTAATTAAACCATTGATTTTGAAAATGCTTTGTTTTTATTTCTTATGCCATGTTTACGTTAGAACTTTTTGTAGGGTTAACCTACTTTGAGAGGATTTATTTGACGTAAAAGTAATGGATATGACAATTTAAATCCAAATCCAGTGGGTTAACCCTCATATATATAAACGTACTGTTACATCAATAAATAAAGGCAAATGACTGAAGGAAAACGAGCTCTCTTAGAAACAAATCAGGCGGTAGATCTGTAATACCTTTTTATTGTACATTCGTCTGCAACTGATTCCCCGATTGTCAAATTAATTTGAATTAGATTTGGCAACTCCAGTGCATATGGAGTGTATTTGTTGTAAAGAACGAACCGTAAACAACAGGGAAAAATTTTTGCTCTGCATAATAAGTAATTAATTAAGTAAAAAATACTTATTAGAACTAATCCAACACACATAATCAAGAGAATGAAATGAAAATCTGAATAAGCAGTGGATCGTATATTTATTGAATCTCGTGTTATGTTGCGGCATATTTAACTACAAAGGATAAGGCTTTGAATTTTATAAAAAAAACTACGGTCGAGGGTTATTTTTGCGTGTTGCGAAAGGTAGGGGCGACTTCAATGGTGTTTCCCTGGCAGTCACGAAATAATGCTATTAATCCCGGCACTACGAGCCGATTGCTGGTGGCTAAGGCATTTCTTATTGGGACATTTGCCTTTGGAACTAGATGTTGTGATGCAACAGCCACAGATATTGCTCTCGATGCCAAGGCTACATTGACGCATAGGATTGACAGTTTAAATCTTTTGGTCTACACCTTCCTGCTTACCTTGACGGTCTTAACGATATGGTTGTTTAAGCACCATCGAGTTTCCTGGCTCCATGAGACGGGCCTCGCTGTGATATATGGTATGTAATGATTGCTATAGTATGTAGTAGGGTTTAAATGCAAAAAAAAAAAAAAAAAAAAAAAAATGACGACATTACATGCATATGATCCCTTTATTTTGCATTGTCAGCATTTTTTATTTTTTAGTATGCAATTGGCGACCATAGCTATAAGCCTGATTTAATTTCGCAACAGAAAGTTTTTTTTTTTTTAAACTATTTCCTATTGTTACAGAATATAGAAAGAATATGGAACAACTCTAGTTTAGTAAAAACTCTTAGATTTTTTCGAAAATTTTTCCAGAGGTAGGTATTTTTACCCTGATCCCGGGAAACTATTTTTTTCTTGGGGGACGGACCCGGGACACCAGATTTTTGACCCGAAAGTCCGGGATCAAGACCCCGCCTGGACCTGGATCCACTTACCCGATATAGACAATATGGGTATCGATTGAAATATGGAAATACCTATCCAACAAGTGGTCACATGAAGGTAAGTAAGTTGTCATGGTTCGGAAGTTATAGTATATATATCGATTTTTTGGACCCGGATTTTTTATGAAACCCCAAAAAATTCAAAAAAGGGCCCATTATGGGGGTCATCAAAATTGTTTCCAAATTATAGCTGACACTCTGACCTTTCCAAAATGCTACAATTTGTGCTAATACCTTTTTCGGTTCCAGAGATATGGGTCTTTCCATCCGCATAACGCGATTCTAACCAGTTCATTAAAATGATGTTTTCAATAAAAAAAAGTGTTTATTTCGCGTAGCAGTCGTCGGAATAACAAAAGTTTTCTAAATTTGGAACTTTTTGTAAATAGCCGGCCTTCGGCCGGGGCTTGAGATTTTCACCTATGGGTATGTCCGACACCGGCTAACGCGAACAAAAGGTTCATAATTTCGGCACTTTTTGTAAATAGCCGGCCTTCGGCCGGGGCTTGAGATTTTCTCCTCTGGGTATGTCCTACACCGGCTAACGCGAACCAAAGATTTCTGAATTTCATGCTTACGCAAAATATACCTTTTTTTATTGAAAACATAGTTTTAATGAAGTGGTTAGAATCGGGTTATACGGATGGAAAGACCCATATCTCAGGACTCAGTAAAGTTATTAGCACAAATTGTAGCATTTTGGAAAGGTAGAAGTGTCAGCTATAATTTGGCATCAATTTTGTTGCCCCCATAATGGACCCTTTTTTGACTTTTTGGGGGTTTTATAAAAAATCCGGGTCCAAAAAATCGATAACTTCCGAACCGTAACATCTTACCCCATCATGTGACGGATAGGTATTTTCATAAGCTTTCCAACGATACCCATATTGTCTATATCGGGTAAGTGGATCCGGGTCTAGTCGGGGTCTTGAACCCGGACTTTCGGGTCAAAAATCTGGGGCCCCAGGTCCGTCCTCCAAGAAAAAAATAGTTTCCCGTGATCATGGTTAAAATACCTACCACTGAAAAAAATTTCGAAAAAATTGAAGAGTTTTTACTAAACTAGAGTTAAGCGAAGAATATTTGTGTACACATTTCGGAAATGTACCATCTGTTTACTGTTAATATGGACTGCTACAACTGTGCCATAGAAATAAAAAAGCTATGGCCATATCTTAACTAATGGTGGCATCGAAAATAATCAGTTGATTGATTGTTTTATGATGAACACTCGACAACATATCTACTAGGAACTAAATACCCATGTTTGCGGATATGAATGTATGCGGATATTGTTGTAGAAAATTTCCAGTTTTTCTATAGAATAAAAAAATTAATAAATACAAACTACTATATTTTTGCAACTACCTGATAGTCTTTCAAAATGTAGCTATCCGACTTATTGTGTTTTAGGGTTGACATGCGTTAAAATGTTGAGGAAGAATCTTTAAATTTTAAAAGTAATATATATTCTAAGTTATTAGCTTTAGTGTTGCAATATATTTGTTACATTACTATAAGATTTTATTTAAAGGATTCCGTCAAATACAGGGATATAAATTGCTTGACAAGTTTGACATCTGTTAGATTACAATTTAGTGGAATATATATTCTATTACTTTATTATCATAATTTTAATAAAAGTCTCTATGGGCCGATTCGAAGCTTATAGCTATTTTATATATCAATTCGATATAATTAACATATTTTCATTTTTGAATTGGTTATTATGTTTGTTGTTGGTTATTATGTTCACTTTAGTTCTTTATTATTTTTGTTAACAGAAGTTTTGGCTAGGTGCCTTTTAAAATTCGTTCTATAAATTTCTACAAATAAAAATTATAATTTAATATTTTTGCACATGCAGGACTAATTGTTGGTGCGGCAATTCGATATTCCGGTTCATCAACACCCTTAGTGCACTTGGAAGTAGAGCCGGAATCTAATTCAACATTCAACCAAACATTGCCACCTGATACGCTATGGCTAAAAGTAAATTCAATACAAAATAAAAATCTGACGTACAGAAACATTTTATATATTCTCCAATCTTCTTTTTTTATTAGTTTCCGGGGAAATTAACTCCAAACGGCAGTGATGCAGTTGAAGACAAAACATATGCCTACACTTTTCGTAGTCAAGTTTACGATGTAGTCGAGAACGAAATTGATTTAAAAGCTACATTTGATCCTGAAATATTTTTTAATATTATTTTACCACCAATAATATTTCATGCTGGGTACAGCCTAAAAAAGGTAAACTAATAAACTTTTAAGTAGATGAATTCATTTTAAAATATCTTTTATAGAAATATTTTTTCCGCAATTTGGGCGCAATTTTAACATTCGCCATACTGGGTACTACATTATCGGCGTTCCTAATCGGTGCTCTTATGTACGGTTTTGTGAAACTGATGCCAACATACTTGAGTAGCAGTTTCACATTTCTGGACACGCTGTATTTCGGAGCGTTGATATCACCAACAGATCCACTAACAATTCTGGCGATTTTTCACGATTTAAACGTTGATGTGAACTTGTATGCTTTGGTGTTTGGTGAATCTGTTTTAAATGATGCTGTAGCAATTGTTTTGAGTGGGTATGTAGTTAGTAAACATCTATTTTACATGCTACTAATGACAATTCACTTTTAGTGCGATACAAAATTATGGAGAACATTACTCTAGTACTGGAGAGTTTGAAACATATGCCTTTTTCCGAGCGCTAAGCGACTTTTTTGGTATATTTATGCTGTCGTTACTGATCGGCGCTCTAATGGGCTGTTTTACAGCATTGATATCCTTTTTAAACAAATTTCCATCTATGTTTGCGACAAAATTGCCCTTTACTATTGGCTACAATGCAAGCTAGTGTCGTACACACATAATATAATAATAATTGCATTGGGTCACAATTAGCACATGCAATGTAGTTGTTGGAAAATATGCTACGACAGGCGTTAAAATAGCTCTTTCAGCTTTTGTATTTTAGGACTATCGTAAAAACTATATTGCGCCTTAAGCATAGCCCCTAAAAAATAGAGACGAAAGTCAACTTCGTACGTGCAACTTTACTATTGAACAGGAAGGGGAATAAAAACTAAAAATTTGCAAGGTTTGCTTATGTTACGAACGATGTATCATATAATTATGTGGAATACTGCACTAACAATTGTATCTACATTTTTTGGAGCTGGGCAATTACATTAAAAAGTTATTAAGCTCAGAGATTAGCTGCGTAGTTCTTTTTGACAAACTAATCAGTTATAAATTAACATAAAGCTAAAAATTCAATTCATAGGTTTTGCCGAATTCATTTGTCAGCTCACTAGATAACAGGCTATTTATTCGTGTTTGTGTCCATTGCTATTGTACGGAGCGCATACGAAGTAGATTTCCGTTTGTAAATCATCGACACAATTTTTGCAACCCCTTAAGGCAAATATATACTTGATCTGCTTAAAATTTTAGCACCAAAATTGAAATATGGGCAGTCGAAGTGCGCTGGTGCCCCGATTAAAATGGGAAAATTCCACATTTTATATATACTTTGGGAAATACTTCCTCATTTTGCAATGTGTTTCTATTCGTAGTTGTTGCAGATGGTGGGTGAACTCCGAGAATGGCATTCATCCTGCAATTGCTAATGGCATCTGTGTATGAATGGCACTCAGACCTGCCTGATAGGCTTCTTGATCTAGAGGCTCTCTTATAGCGATGGACCTCCCTCTTTAGATCATGTATGTCCTTCCTGACACGCCTGGGTGGGGGATGATGACTCCCACGATAAGATCCAAGCAGGTACTGCAAAGAAAGCATATTGTTATGGGAGGGTCTTTCGCCTCCTCATGTAGATGGTCCTCTGGTGCCATGAGGTGGTACCTTGTCGCAGTTCTCAGGGCAGCATTCTGGTAGATCTGGATGTGCTTCCACTGCGTAGCAGTAGTATTCGCAGATCACACTGGAGGCGCATAGCTGGCCACAGACCGACCTATCGCGTTATAAGAGGTCAACAAGGTTTCCTTGTCCGCACCCCAAGTGCTGATAGATAGCGCCTTAAGGACCTTGTTCCTACTTTTCATCTTGTCGCAGATAGCTGTGGCTTGCGCGGACGACTTGAACATGCTGTCGAATGTGACCCTAGGATCTTGGAGTAGTTCGTGATCGGTATTAAATTTCCCTCGATCACATTCAGCTGTATTCTTATCTCCGCAGACCATTTGGTAAAGAGTATGCGGCAAGCTCCTCAATGTAGAGGTTCAACCTTTCACATATGTCATCAACCACTGGGTCCGATACCATGATCGTACAATCATTGGCATACGTTACCATCTCTATCCCGTATGGAGGGCGAGGAATTCCAGAAAGGTTAAACAGTTTAGGAGATATCACCCCACCGTGCGGAACTCTTTGTTTCACTCTACGAACTTCAGAATTCTTGTTCCGGAATTCCACGTACGACTGGCGTCCACACATATAGGTGAATATCCAACGTTTCTCTATACATATCAAACAGTGTGGCATGATTGAAGTATATAGGTGGCTTCGAGAGGTTGAGAATTTTCGTCAGGTACTTAACTCCAGTTGTTTTTTCATTACCATTGAGATTCCGTCTGGGCGCAACGCTTGGGATGACTTAGCTTTCCGAATGACATTTGCAACATCAGCTATCTTAAACAGTGTCGGTCGCTCCTCGGCGGAAAGAGATCTGATGTAACGTAGAACTTTCGCTTCGCCCTGTCGCTCTCGGGTTGCTCGATAAATTTTTGGAATGCCACAATTCATGGTGGGCATAAAAATCCTCTAGTACCAGGCGTTTATTGCGTACCAAGAACGAGCCAATATCTGGCAAATAACGCGGTTCACAGCGGGATATACACAACAACCGCCTTTACCTCCGCAGTACCACATTTGACTGCTACCCCCATACATTCCATGTATGTGTCACTAGAGACTAGCTCAAGCGAGATAGATCTGTACTGAACAGAATGGTGTAACGGGAACGCTAATCCCCCACCTCCACTTCTGGTGCGATCCTTCTTCAAAACGATGTAATCATAAAAGCGTTTCCTTCTCCGCTAATATTCCTCCGATTCATTAATTCCAATATTGTATCTATTTTGCCTGGAAGTCCGTTGCAATTGAATTGCAAGAACGATGCATAACGGTGTTGGAACAGCAACATGTGACGTAAGATTCTGTGGTATTGCTTGCTGTTCGGAAGACTGCGGTGGGGTTCCATACTCCGATGAGGACGCCGTCGCAACATAATCCCTGTAGTCACAAACTACTTACTCCGCAACAATTCTTGAAGTGCATCCATTACATCGCACCGAAATAGATCTGTGGTGGGCGACATTCTGAAAAACCGGGCAGAACCAATGTCTGGGGTTTCCTCAACCCCGGCAGTGTCCAATAAAATCCGGAGCAAGCATTCCGCGATATGCTGGTCCCAACGCAAAAATAGACAGCGGGTTGGCAGCCACTGACCGAAACTGTGATGTCAATCGGGTCAATCCGGTATCGTGGGATTGTTGCTATTCGTTTGCATTGCTCATTGTTAGAAAAACCTTTTTAGTGATTTCTTATCCAGCAATGCTGTAAATTTTTAATGCTATTGTCGTTTAACCAAAATTGTTAAAAAGAGATAATTGCAAATTTCAAAAATAGTTTTGTGCTTTTAGACCAAGAATTTTGAAAATTTGCACTGTAGAATGTATTTGAGCTTACGTACTAAAAGTAAAACGCTTGATTATTAGGTCTAGATATGACAGCTATTTGATCTGTAGTTTCGTTTAAAACCGCTAAGATGTTCAGCAAAAAATTATTTCAGATACAGAATTTATTTATTAAATTAAATTAAATGGTCCTCAAGCTCTTGTAAAGGGGTCGAAAATAGCAGGAAGTGTGAAAATTTGTACCAAAATTGTGGTCAAAACCATCAAATACTAAAAAGAAATTAGTTATTTGTCTACAAATATCAAACTGATGTGTAGACTAAGTTTGTATTTCTCGAAAATACAATTAGAGTTGGCGGCTGTAAATAGTTTTTTTTTTTTCAGAGGAGTTTCCCGACAGCAATATAGCCTCAGTTCAAGATCGTATACGTATAAGTAAACCTATTAAAAATACTGTCATATTTGTGGAAAATTTGGTGATAAGTAACTGAAGAATTGGGAGTCGGAGAAATAACAATAAAATTACGATTTGCAGTTATAAATGCAGTTCAATTTGTTTGTATATAGTTTATACAATTTTTGTATTACCAATGTTTTATTCCTTAACTCATTCAACACTTGACCAAATTTACTCGTGTTCGAGATTTTCCCCTTTTGGAGTCGGCGCTTTTTGTTCTCATGTCGTACAGTACCTTTTTAATAGCAGAGGCATCAGAACTCACCGGCGTGGTTGCCGTCTTGTTCTGTGGAATATGCCAGGCGCATTACACTTTCAACAACTTATCCGAAAATTCCCGAACACGAACTAAGGAAATCTTTGAACTGTTAAACTTTTTGGCAGAGAATTTTATATTTTCCTACATAGGCGTTTCTATGTTCACATTTCCTAAACACCATTTCGATGCCGTTTTTATTATAACTGGATTTGTAAGCATGCCGTCTCGTAATCATGTATTCATATTTAAAACTTATGTTTCATAATTTTTAAACAAATCTTTTAGATATGTGCGGCAATTGGAAGAGCTGTAAATATTTATCCTTTGTCGTGGTTATTGAACTTAAATAGAAAACCAAAAATTTCTTCCAATTTTCAACACATGTTATTCTTTGCCGGTAAGTTACAATTTGTTGTGTCGAAGATCTATGGAATTAATTATTAAATCTTGTTCTAGGGCTACGCGGTGCTATGTCTTTTGCATTGGCTATACGTAACACATTATCAGAGGCTAGACAGACGATGTTGACGGCAACATCTCTAATTGTAATTTTCACAGTTGTGATCCAAGGTGGTGCTGCTAACTTTTTTCTTAACTGGCTTCAAATACCGTATGTCAATCCCAATTCTTCAAATCGAATGTATACGAGTTATTAACGAAACCTTCTTCCTTTTAGAGTGGGAGTGGATGAGGAAATCGAACAGCTGAATAATCATCAAGTTCGCAGTGTGAGTATTTGTTGTTCATGATACTGTTTTTTCTGTTGTTAAATTTTAATTTTAATGTTTTTAACAAAATTTGTATATATTAAGCTGAGCATCCAATATTGCCTTTGTTTTATTAAATTCAGTTTTTTTGTGCTTCCGTTTCTTTTTCAAATTTATCAATATTATCACATTTGCCATTTTTAAACATATTGTATTTTATTCTTCAATATTTTTGGTTAATTTTAATTACTATGAAAGGTCTACAATTCTATGGAAAATACAACAAATATGGTATGTGTAAATAACTATCATTTTTTTCGTTTAAATTAAACATTTCATTCGTAACATTGCAATTTTATTAGGCTGTGATATATTTGATCTTCATAGTCTTACCGTTTTGTATTCGAAGTCGAAAGTATTGAAAGTGGAAAGTTTGTATATTATTTTGATTCATATTATCGATTTTCATAATAATATTTTTGATTTTTCAGTGCATAAAAGATTTTATTTTTTGATTAAAAAATTGTTATCCCAAGGATAAACAAAACAAAGCATTTTTTAAAAATGATTCCTTTAATTTTGATTTACGGAAATAATCTAAGCGCGGCTTTTGTATCTGACGACCAATCACGTTTTATATTTTGATCAAATCGCAATAAGGTTGCATATTTACTAAAGTTTTTTACGTACACAAAATATCTTGTAATCTTTAAACAAATCTATGACTATTCGTGTTAAAAGGTACCATGTTAGGCAAGGCATGTTGTTTTATAATATAGACCCGATAATATTTATTTCTTATGATGTTCATAATTTATCTAATTGATTACACCGTTTGCTTAAACATTCGTATAAGAGATTTAATTTTTATTTTCCAATCTCTCGCATTTGCTTTTTGCAATTCTTACACGGCACCGATTTATTTTATTTATCAAGGCGTTTTAATTGACCGATGCGTCGTCTATATCAGGTTCGTAATTGATTGAAAGATTTATAGGCGCAAAGAGCGATGTCATTTCAGATACATATACACATAGGATTCAAGTGACAATAGATAACATTTTAACTTCTTTTATAAAACTATCTCTTCCAATTTAATCGGAACTTATTAATCCAATTCAAGGCACATTTAGCAGTTGACAAGGTTCGAGATACTTTACTTAAAATATAATTGTAATGTACAAGGTATATTAGATTATATTGTATGGCACGAAGTGTGATTCTCTTAAACTCATAATAATAGGCCTAAATATCAACAGAGTTGAAAAGTCTGAGTTCTTAAATTACCCAAGCTAACCGTAATTGTGAAAAGAGAACTTTTAAGAGTTTTCTGACTTTTGTTTGAAATTGTTATTTTAAACATAGATATTTCATTTAACATTCAGAACTTTTCTTTCGAAATTCGTATCTACTGAATTTATGATTAGAAAAATTATTAACTAATAAACCATTTAATTTAAGACAACCTCAATGGAAATTCAGAAATGTTATTTGAAATTCGGAAGATTTCATCTATAATTCAGGATATCTTTAAACAAATTTTCTGTAGAAATCTTTCAGAGAAAATTATTTATGTGCTTTGCTGATTATTAATGTTGGCATATTTCAAAAATATTTTTTATTTTATTCTAAAAAAATTCTGAATTTTATATGAATATCAAATTCAAATCTAAATTCGGAATAAAAAATGGATAATCAAATTAGATAATTCAAATTAGATATTCTGAAATCAAATTCTGATTTTCAATATCAATATTATGCATTTCAAATAAACTGAATATCAAATGGAATATGATAACTTTTAATTCAAATATCAGATTTAAAAAAAAAGAGTTTATGAGCTCCAACTGTTTTGTTTGTTTGTTTTCTAATTACAGTTGGAAATAGTGTCAATGGTTAAACATTATTTCTTGCTTGAAAACGCTTTATGGAGTACCCTTTAGGGCATTCAATACATTTTTCAATATTAAAAAGTTGTGAGCTGTAAAAATAAATTTTTGTTCATCTTCCATTGTTTTCTTCTGACCCATGCAGCATACAATAATTTACCTTATAGAAAAATCTGTCATATTACGATATTATTTAAATCAGATATCATCGCTCACAGACACATTTGAATGACCAATGGCTTAGACATAAGATAAGTTTTTGCACATTTAATATTTTTGCCTCTATTGAAATCTTTACCCTTGACTCTTCGTATGATATGCTTTTTGTTTGCAAATATTTTATCGTAGTGAGAATAAATAAAATATTTAAAAATAGTCTGAAACTTATTTGCAGGACTGTGGTGATATCGATACAAACCCTGGAAGCAGCAGACGAAATGAAAAAGCCGTACTTGCCAGGTTATGGGGTAGTTTTGATACCAAGTATGTAAAAGTTTCATTGGATCAATTCAATGAATCAATGAATTTTACTAAAATATTAATGCGATCTAATTGAATTTTAGATATATGAAACCACTGTTGACTCACTCGAGGCCTACTTTGTTGGAAACTTTGCCAGTTTGTTGTAATCCCGTAGCTCGCCTTTTAACAACAACTGAGCAATTAACCCAGGTAAATGACAATATTAATTTAATACAGTAATACATAGGCCACACACATAGTTCAAAATTAAGCCATAGATTGTTATGACATTTTTTAGTTATGCTGTAATGTTTCCGAATTACATACTATCAGAGAGGTTTTTAGTTCGCTATTGTTCCTGCCATCTTCCTCGTGATCATTGACCATATCATTATTCGTAGAAATGCAATTTAATTGTAAATGTTACCCGCATACAATCTATTTTTCCTGCCTAAACTATTTGTAATTAAAATAGATTTAATTAACATTTTCATTTTCAATACTCTTCATTTTTATCATTTATATAATACCATCAATTGGTTATATATGACTAATACGAACGTCATTTACATTCTGTAAAATCTCTTCACACTCATTTCAAATCCAAACTTATTACATTAGGATGGTGATTTGCGTCGAACAGATTCGGATTCTGACATTTGCATAGATGATAGCGATTTAAGTCGAAACCGAAGTGGAAGCGGTGGTGGCGGCTCTGGAGACCCGCGACGAAATTCAATCAATCGTGTAAGTATACAGTTTGTGGCAAATAATCGTAGTACCTTTGCTAGTTACAGGAACTGTGATTGTGATTGAACTTTAAATGCAAAGAAAAAAACAACAAAACAAAATTATAAACTTTATACTTCATATGTTTACAATTACATCTAATACTACACCGAACCAGAACTAGTCATTGAACTGTTTGAAACGCGTACCAAAGAATAATTACACACACATGTACTAATGTTATCATTGACTGTATCTATTATCTACAAGTGTTATTATTATATTATTTTTTTTGTTATCTTTACAATTATATATTTTATTAGTATTATGTTATTTAAATTGCTATTTGGTTCTTACAATTTCCTATTTTTAAATTGGTTACAATGTGAAATTTTAAATCCACTGATATACTGTAAATATGTATGTAAATAACTAATTTTCCAAAAAAAAACCTCTACATTTCCTATAACACAGAATATTTGTTGCATGTTGTTGTAATCTGAAACAATAAATTAATAAGACTTATGAAACAAAATAACCATTTGTTTAACTCTTCTTTTTTTCTTCTTTTCCATAACTGTAATTTTGTTCTATGTTCTCGTTCTAACTTGTGGACTTATTTTCTAATTATCGCAAAAAACTAACGAAACATAACAAAAACAAAAATAAAACCAATCTAATATTTGACCCAAAACTACTCTAATCACAATTTTCATCATCATGGCTTGTTATACCAATTACAACTATTAATACACAAATACTATCATACTAATCCAACAACAATAACAACGCTTTTATAGTCTAATGTATTGACTGAAACTAATCAAATAATTGCTGATCTCAGTGTGGTTACAAACAACTTTATGTAAGGCAACATAATCGATTGTAACAAGAAAATATGAAGGTTAGTTTCATTTATTAATAATCTTAAATAAAACATTGACATAATTAGCAAATGGCATTTTAAGGTGGCAATTCTTGTATCCTTTATAAGACCGTAAATGTGTAATTCGCTTGTATGTGTAGAATGCTACACATACAAAACAATGAAAATGCAAACAAGGAAGAAATTTAAGAAAAGTTGGCATCAATGCACTATGGGGCCGATGGCAAGTTTTTGATGCAAAAAAAAAAACATTTTTTGAAGGTAGACATTTGAATAAAAAATTGATGGAATCATGGCTCAATAAAAAAGGTTGCTCAACTTCCAAGAAACAAGGAAAATGCAACTCTGTACCGGAGTCTTATAGTGTCAAATCTATTTTTAAATATTCAACACTTGGTTCTGTCTATTTTACTCTAATTTCATTTTCTATTTTTTTATATTGAAAAGAAGAATGAAATACTGGGGTTTCTCCTTAAAATTGAATTCAAGATAGAGGGACAATGCTGTTTCATCCCGAAATAACACATTTGTTGTCCGACAACGTGGAAAATATGCATTTTTGTTGCATCTAAATTTAAAATAATTTCAAATTATTTTCTTTTTGATTCAAAACAATACACACATATACAAACTGTGTATATGTTTTGACAGAATATGGGCACCAAAAGAAAAAAAATATTTAGGGGGTAGCTTTATTCTACCCATGGTACAATGAAGAGAAGGTAGGTCAACTTTGAAAAAATTGCAAGTATAGAAGTCTACCTGTTTGGCTTGTAATGTCAGAAATAGTATCAAAACCATAACAAAATCAAGCAACTTGTTGCATTTATTTTGAATAAATAATTGAAAACCGCGAAAACTGAATGAAAGGTCAACACTTCTTTTCAAAACCATGTTCTATATATCTCTAAAGGATTATTTCGCTACAAAAACTCTAGATTTTGTCGATGCATACGATGAAATAAACATTTTGAAAACATCCGAATTTGAATGTTTTCTGAACAATGTTTTTGTTATCGAAAAGAAAACACATACATAAACAAATAAAGATGACATTTTAAGCCAAGAAAATAAAAAATTGAAATCATATGGTATCATAGCCTACCTTGATATCATTGTACCATGGTTCTACCTACTGTAGTTGTGCCATGGATGGAATCATGGTAATGATATCAAGGTAGGGCAGAACTACCATATGATTTTAATTTTTTATTTTCTTGGCTTAATATGTCATCTTTATTTGTTTATGTATGTGTTTTCTTTGCAATAACAAAAAATTGTTCAGAAAACATTCAAATTCGGGTGTTTTCACAATGTTTATTTCAACGAATGCATCGACAAAATCTAGAGTTTTTGTAGCGAAATAATCCTTTAGAGATATATAGTACATGATTTTGAAAAGAAGTGTTGACCTTTCATTCAACTATCACGGTTTTCAATTATTTTTTCAAAATAAATGCAACAAGTTGTTTGATTTTTTATTGTTTTGATACTAATTCTGACATTACAAGCCAAACAGGTAGACCTCTATACTTGCAATTTTTTCAAAGTTGACCTACCTTCTCTTCATTGTACCATGGATGGAATTATGTTCATTATACTTTCAAAACCTCGAAAACAGAAATTTACAATCTGACAACAACTCAGGGCCTTATACCGAGCTGTCAAAGATGCCATATTTTCTTTTCACCTTATTTTATTATTGGCGTCAAATATATTGACAAAAGCAAGTAAAAAAGAAGTAAGTTCGGGCGGGCCGAACTTAGAATACCCTCCAACATTTGGAACTGATTTAAAAATGTTCAAAAAATAAAATCCGTTAAAAATTCTGTTAAACATTTAAAAATCCGAAGACGTGGACCTGCATTTCGCCATTAGTCATTGCAATATTAAAATACGAAATAAAGAGGTACCGTTATATCGGGGCTATACGAATTCCTGGACATGCATATTTAATTTTCTGTCACAGGCTGTAGTAACTATTACGAACTTTCAAACTATTTCGCTGAATATTGTACCTAAAATCGTCAAAATACCGAATAAATAGGAAGACCTGGACCTGTATAGACAATTTTCTGGCAAAGACTGTAGTTCCCATTATGAACTCTAAATACGAAATTTGGTGGGGGGTACCATTATGGGGGCTATACGATATCGTGGACCGATATAGTCCATCTTCGAACTTGACCTGCCTGCAGACAAAAGACTGATCTGTGTAAAATGTTAGCTTCCATTCTTTATTCGTTTCGACTCTAGCGTGATTATGACAGACGGACGGACAGGGCTAAATCGTCTTAGAATTTTTCGCAAGGTTTAAAATGCTAACGCTAAATTAGCATTAGCAACGAAAAGTTTCAGCCTTGCCTGCAAAAATTCTTCGAAATATGTTGCCTATCACTGAGCTATGCCAACAAATAGCAACACATTACAAAAAAAATAGTCGAGAGAGCTAATGCTATTTAAAATTGGCAGCCAACATAAAATAGCAGTGAGCGGCTGGCTGCAACAAAATTGAAATCAGCTCTAACATCAGCTCAGCACTGTTATTGCTTGGCAAGTTTTCCAGCCAACAAAAACAAATAGTGTTGTTGTGTTGCTCATAAAAAAGTTCATACTGTATGAAATGCGATAAAAATCGCGTTCTTATACATTTGGTATTTGGTAGTTTTCTGATGTTATTCAATAAATTTTTAAAAAAAGTGGTAAGTTAGATATCGAAAATAAACTTAGGTTAGCTGACCGACAAATACCACTAATATTTCGACTCCAGCACATGGCACAACAGTAGCAAGTGTTCAAAGAAAGAACGTAGCACCAATATCGTCACCAGTAAAAGCCCCTTAAGAAGGCCCAGCAATCAAGGTAGTAGAAGAGAAGAACATAAACAAACTTTGGTTTTTGTGTTGCATTCATTTAGTGCGAATTCAGCATCACAACAACTTATTTTGACATGTAACAGGTAGATGAACCTTGGAGCTATTGCTTATTTGTGTGCTGAATTTTTCAGCTTCATTGCCGGTTTGGCCTAAACAAAATACGTAGCTTATCAAAAACAAGGTAATACATATATATATATATATAATATTATATATATATATATATATATATATCATATATATATATATATATATATATTATAATATATAATATATATATATATATATATAAATATATATGTTATAGTGTCCTGTAATGTACTTTTTGTTTGCTTCCGCGTGTCATTTTAGGTTGAACGTTCGGTATTGGGGCGTATTCGGGAAACAATATACATTTGGTATATATATAGCATTTTCACGATATATATATTTTTATATATATATATATATATATATATATATATATATATATATATATATATATATATATATATATATATATATATATATATATATATATATATATATATATATATATATATCATTTCAATTGCAAAAAATGTTATTTGATCTGAAAATGCTATATATATACGAATCCCGACCTAAATTGACAAAAATTGAACTCGTTTGAAAACAGAAAATTTAAAACTTAAAAATTAAAGTAAAAATTTTTTCTCTCTATAGAGAGACAAATTTAACGTAGCGTACACAAATATTTTCTTTCCCGCCATGATGAAATGTTTTGTACGTCCTTATAACACAAATAAACCCGGTCAATATCTTAGAATTTACCAAAGTATACATGTAGAAAAGTTCGGCCGGGCCGAACTTTTAATACCCTGGAAGGACTTCAAATATTTCAAAAAAACCGTCGAAAAATACCGCTTAAATGAAAACCATTATATAGGAGCTATAGAAAGACAAGCACCTACATAAGTAATTATCTGTCATATGCAGTAGTACCGATTCCAAACTTCAAATACGAAATTTGAAACAATTTCAGTGGTACCGTTATATGTATGCTATACGAAGACGAGCACCTGCATAGACAATTTTTTGTCATAGGTTGTAGTACTCATTACGAACTTCAAAAATGAAATTTGAGACAATTCCAATGAATAATGTCACAAAATTATTTAAACACCGAATATCGGGAGGTACCGCTATTTGTAGGCTATACGAAGAGGTGGGCATGCATCAGAGATGGGCATAATGCACTGTATTTTTAGTGCACTAATAATTTCACTATCACTGTTCATTTAGTGGTAGTGCAATTTTTAATTCCACTACCACTAAAGGGTTAGTGGCAGTGAAAAATAAATTCACTACCATGTTTATGGGGAGCTGTACGAAAACGTGGACCGACATGGCCTATTTACGAACTTAATCTGCCTACTGGCAAGATACAAACGTTCGGACAATTTTAGCATCCTATGTCAATTCGTTCGAAAGATAGCTTTATTACAAGAGACAGACATTGCTAAATCGACTTAGAATTTTACGCTGATCAAGAATGTAGGGTCTAATATGAGAATTTCGATGAGTTACAAACGGAATGACAAGGTTAATATGCCTCCATAGAATGGTGTAGGGACATATATCTTATGATATAAAATGAACATTGTTCCTCTTGCATCCTACCACACCTACGCCGAATAAATGTTGAATCCGATATCTTCATTTGCGATTACAATTTAGAACATCGTTAGTTGTATTGCAAACATTCTACTGGGCGTAGAATGCTTATTTTCCCAATTGTTAATAAAATTGATATTAGATATTACAAAAGTAATATCTAAATATAGGCCACAAACAACAAATAGTCGGTTAAAAATAATCACTTTAAATCGACTCGATTTCTAAATCCGAATTTCAAGTTCTAGTTGTTTAGTCTAGTTTAAAATGGTAAAAAAATGTTAGACACCGAATCTTTGTTTACGTATAAATACACGCTTTTTATATATTCAGCCATATGGCTACAGAGGGTATATATCATTTGATACGGCCAAAACGTGCCTCATCGAAATAACAGTTTTAGACCCTAGGTCTCTTTGCACCAAATCCGTTTCCGGATATTTGGAGTTGATCTAGCGATGTCCATCCGTCCGTCTGTCTGGCTGGCTGGTGCGCACGATAACTCTCGATTTGACACAAACTTGGTACATCGTAATATTCTTTTCAAACTTATAATGAGTTCGGAGATGGTAGAAATTTTCACAAAAAAAAAAAAAAAAAAAATAAATAAAGGAGAAAGGATAATGCAATTTTGCTCCAACTTTGCAAATCCGTCCAAAAATACCGCTCAAAGGAATCCCGTTATATGGGGATTATACGAAGACGTGGTTCTGCATAAGTAAAAAAAAAATTCAGATAATTTCATAAAAAAATCTGCCTTAAATCATCAAAATACCTATCTTTTTACTTCTAGCTGGTCCGGTCCGCGTTGCCGGCCCGTAATTTTAGTCTTCAAAGTATATTTTATTTTTTTATTTTTTATACTTATGTAAGCGACACAATTGTTATTATAAGTAATACCTCCATAGTAATAGATCACACAGATCTGTTTCATATAAGTGGCAAAATTTTCATTAAACATAATGGCTCGAATAAATAGATATAAATACCCATTGCAAAAATGGGTACTCTAGACGCAAATTAGGAAAATCTGCCCAAGACCCTCAAAATAGGTAAAATCAGGAGGTACCTTTATATGGACGCGACTCCAAAGATTGATATTCTATCCCCATAGAAGCTATGTTGGCAAATAATTGAACAATAAAATTTTGGTCCAAAAGTGGGCCTATACTTATCAAAGTTTGAAAGAGAATTTTCTTCTTCCTAAAATTTTAAATTACCAAAACTTGAGGAAATTAATTTGATGGCTAAATTAAAAAGATACGCGAAACCGAGGGATACCCATATATCGGGGCTATATCAGAACTTAGACCCACATTACCCACATTTTGAACAAATGATTGTACGTGTAGTAACCCCTAGAACTGTATCAAATTTCAAACTATATCGCAAATTTTGCGAAGTTTAGAGAAAAATATTTGAGACCCATTGTGTACGGTTAAAGCTATATAATGCCCCTAAAAAAGTATGGCCTGGGAACCCAAAACCCTTTTGAGATTTTGATCTACTAACCAAATACTTTTCACTCAGAATTTCCCAACCCCCCGATTGGGTGTTGCACAATGCCATTACTCGCTATTGCACATAGATCCCATATAATTGTGCCTATGATTTAAATATCTTGAAGGTTTCAGTAAAATTTTTCGGAGGATATGAATTCATTTCTTACTAAATTTTCAATTCGATCTACCATTTTGTATAGTCCGCATATATGTATATATATTCTGTATTTTACTGATTACAGTCCCAATGAATTTTAATATCGAGTTCTCATTGAGCGTATTACTGCCAAATGAAAGGTGTAGGTCCACATTTTGATATGACCCCTATAAAGCTATATCGGCTATTTTTGTTTGTTTGGAAAGATTACAATTTGACAGCGTATTGTGCGCCAATCTCATTATCTTTAGCTTACATTCACAATTCAACATGAAAAAATTTCATGCGATAATTAAAATTATGAAAAATTAAAAAAATACATAAGAAAACAAATTTAACTCACATTTTATTTGCGTGATTTTGTAACACGACTTTTTTTTTTTTTTTTTTGATTTTATTCTTTTCTGCCATCAGGCCAGTCGTTCTTGAGTTATAAGCGCAGTAACTAACATAAACTTCTTTTTTATATATAGATGGTAAAAATAATACTTTATTTTGTTCACAAAATAAAAAAAAAACTATTGAATAAGGTATAATAATATAAAAAATGTGCATCATATAAAAAAATTCTTGAACTTGTTCGCGGTTTTAGAATGGTTTGCAATGAAATAGTCTCTCTTTTCGTTATTTCCTTTCGATAGTAATTATTATTTAACTTAGATGTGACCACGTTAAATTATTTCGACAGCATGTATTCAGTTCGCCACTACAAACAATTCAATGTAACCCGACCGCAATTTCCGTTCTCAAAAAAGTGTCAATAAAGTTAATCAAACTGAAAAAACACCGTTTGTACACGATTAAATATGATTTTTTTGTATCATTTTGTGAATGATACAATTCGTATAGTTCCACTTAGCCAATAAATACATAAAATCTATAAATAACAGTTTTGTCCGTTGTCGCTTTATACTCCCCAAAAAGACTACACATCATATTAGAATTCAAAAAGAAAAAAACTACAAATTTACATTCGAAAATAGTAAGTCAAAATGGAAAAAAAATCACGCAATATAAAACATTACGATTCTACATTTCAAAAGTCAAAATGAAAATGTTTAAATTTCACATTTTAACGCGATTTTTTGGATTTTATCCTTTTTTGCCAAGAGATTATTTAGAATTTGTCGAAATCGTTAAAATCCGACTAGTGGTTCTTGAGTTGTAAGCGTAGTAACTAACACAACTTTCTTTAATATACAGGGTGATATAAAAAGAACTGCAACAAAGTCAAACGCCATAATTTTTACATTTTTTTTAAATTTTATTGAATGAAAGCAAACAATGTCAAAAATAGCATCAAATTTTAGAATAAGTTTAGATTTGTTCGAATTGGTCACCTTTGGCAATCGTCATACGCTGCTCGAATGTTTCCCTGCGGTATTTTATTCTGATGCCATTTATTCTGATGCCACGGTCGATTAATACGAGCGGAGAGCGACCATCGGCTTTTATGGCATCCCACACCATCACCATGAGTTCTGGTGGCCAACCGAAGGTGCACATTTTCAGCTGACCTCTTTGGCAAGTAAACGCGAACATTTTATTTCGGAGATAACCAAATTCGGCAGTTCACCACTTTCGGCCAAGCGAAGTAACTCTTTAGTCTATTTTCATTCTGTTGCGGTGTAAGTTTTTGCACTTTTTGAAATTTCAATGGCTTTACCCCGAGCTCATTTTTCAATCTTTGCCGAATAGAATATTGCGATATGATCAGCTAACGACCCACTTTTCGGCCACTGCGACGCGGGTTTCGATCAAGTCGCTTCTTTACTTTTCGAACCAATTCTGTTGATGTTGGTGTTTTCTTCCGTCCACTTCCATGACGTCGGGCTACGCTACCATTATCGCGCTAACGAGCGATGGTACGAGACACAAAAGATTTATTCACATTTAAATGCTGGAGTGCTCTAACGATAGCCACTTGTGGTTTTCTATCCAAATATGAAGAAATCACACCATCAGGCTTGAATTCCATCACGAATAACTTTTATTCTGGAAAATTCTCACCAAAATGCTTTTGTACGCTTGTAAACACTGTCACTGGAATAATTTTAACAGCTGTCAGACGGGTGGCTTGGAAATGACAGCAGTCTGAAGTTGGTTGCAGTTTTTTATACCCTCCACCTTGGAAAGGAGGGTATATTAACTTTGTCATTCCGTTTGTAACATCCTTAAATATTCGTCGTAGACCCCATAAAGTATATATATTCATAATCAGCATAAAATTCTAAGTCGATTTAACGATGTCCGTCTGTCTGTTGAAATCACGATACAGCCCACATTATTTGACGTAGAGCGCCAAAATTTAGCAGAGCAATTGGTATTGTATCTAGGATGGTTGGTATTGAAAATAAGATATATCGGTCCACGTTCTGGTATAGTCCCCATATAACGGTACCTCCCGATATTCGGTATTTTGATGATTTATGCCACATTATTTAACGGATTTGTCTGAAAATTGGTATTTGTAGGTCATAACGGGTCCCTGTATGTGTGGCAAAACATAGCATGTATAGCCTTCATATAACGGTACCTCACGATATTCGGTATTTTGATGATTTATGCCACATTATTTAACGGATTTGTCTGAAAATTGGTATTTGTAGGTCATAACGGGTCCCTGTATGTGTGGCAAAACATAGCATGTATAGGTCCACGTTTTGGTATAGCCTTCATATAATGGTACCTCCTGATATTCGATATTTTGATTATTTTTGCCACAGTTTTTTAACGGATTTGTCTAAAAATTGGTATTTGTTGGTCATAATGAGTTCCAGATCCGGTGGCGAAACATTGCATGTATGGGTCCATGATTTGGTATAGCCCCCATATAACGGTACCTCCCGATATTCGGTATTTGATGGTTTTTGCCCCTTTTTTTCACGTATTTGTCTGAAAATTGGTATTTGTAGGTCATAATGGGTTCTAGCTCCGTTGGCGGAACCTTGCATGTGTAGGTCCACGATTTGGTAGAGCCCACATATAACGGTACCTCCCGATATTCGACATTTTAATGGTTTTTGCCACATTTCTTCTAATGTTTCCTTTACCCTAATGTGGAGGATATTAAAAGTTTGGCCCGGCCGAACTTAATGTTTTTTTACTTGTTTTCATCTCACCCTGTATATAGATGTTAAGTCTAATTTTTTTTATTTTCAACACACAAAAAAATGTTGAAAATGTTCAACTTTGAAATTTGGTACGCCCGACGTATTGGGTAACATTAATATGAATACATGTGCTTTATTTGTGTGGTGAAATACGTCGACCGAGAACGTCGAATTTTAGAATAAAATAAAAATTGGTGAATTTTAAAAATTGCCAATTTTTAAGACCTTATCAGTTGGTAGATTCTGAGGTCCATATCTCATGCGTATTTGGGTAATGCGGACGTAAAAAAACGAATTTTATTTAACATTGAATGATTTTCCCTGATTTAGAGAAACACAGGCTTTGTTTTCTCTCCATTTTGGATCGCCTTAGTGTGAGATGTTGTCTAATTGTGCATAATACACCACAATAAAAACTTCTCCTTCATTTCCATCCCAAAAATGCATTTTATTTATTCATTTTATGCAGCGCTTACATACATATATATATATATAGCACTAATTTTTTTAATTTAATTAATATAATTTGTTTTTATTTTGTTTCAGATTGACAATCATTTGCGCAGTTATCATTTGTAGCGAACCTGTTCCTTTTGTTTGTTCTAGTTTAGTTGTTTTTTAATTGTCCTCGAAAAGGCTATACTGCACACACGCTCTGCAAAAGGAGACATAATTGAGAATTGAAACTACTTAGCTTCGTGATCGAAATCTCTTGGAATGCTGTGAGTCTCGTTTTTGTTTTTTTCAAAGCAAGTGTAGTATGTGTTGTTGTTACACTTCATAATGTTTAAACTTCCTAAAATGTGATGTATTTTAAGTTGCTTTTTTTAAGTAATAGACAAAATAGAGAGTGAGAGAAATTACTTACAACTTGTTTGAGGGTGATATTTTAATTTTAATTAAATTTAAATTAATTAAATACATACATATATACACATATATTCATCCAATATGCAAATAAAAAGTTATTTATTAAAACAATCAAAAGTTCCTTTTATATTTTCTAGTTTTATTATTTTAGCTAAATCGTTTATTTTTAAAATTGTATTGATTTGTTCTGTTTCGATAATACCTAAATACGGTATCCAAAATTTGACCTACTGGGTCGATGTTTTTCATAGCACAAGTTTAAAAAATGAATTTAGATTAATGTTACCGGAAAATCTTGACAATTGCAGTATAAATTCAAACATACTTGGTCTACTATAAAGGATATATCTGATTCTTTCTATAATATTCAGTATTTGGAATTTCCATGCTAATGTTAAAAAAAGCTTTGTCTAATAGGCTAGGGTTACCCGATCAGAACTTTAACTTATCAATTACTCATGTGATGAAGATTGCTCGAGTTATTCCGATTCTGATGTCAATTTAGTTTCGTATCGTACAATTCCTGCCGCTCCCATCGCTAAAAGTGTATTTGCCACTAACGATGTTTCAGGGAAGCACATAGCACAGAGAACGAAAGAGAAGACTATTGTTGCAGCCCTTAATCTGTTTTCGCATTCGATGCGGTGGACTATCGTATGCTAATTCGTCATGAACTCTATCCTTCCAAACGATGTGAGATTTGTATGGTGCACTTGACAAAAAGTAATTAAAATTTAATAATTACAATTGTAACTTTGAACACATCTCTATGTATTCATGTAGGGAGCAGTTTTTATACTCCAATCAAAGCTCCGAAAAACTCGCTCGATTTTACCCAAAGAGTGAAACTCACTCGCTGTCACTCGAATAGGAGTGAGCATGTTTTCCTTGTTTTTGAGTGGGAGAAAAATTTGTTCAAAATCAAGCAGATTCCATTTTTTTCGAGCAATCTTTTTTGTCATGCCGTTGTGGTGTTGGCATGTGTGTGTGTGTAGTTTTGTAACCACCAATTGCAAAACATAACAAAAACAATCAAATCAAACAAAGCATCATTGCTTACAAGTACCAACAAAGCATTGCTCTGTTCGAGAACCTGCAAGAATCTACAAGTTTTGCAACAGGTGCGGGGAACGATTAAAATACCGTCTTTCTCACAACTATTCAAGGCGATAATTCGATTGTTTCCAATTTATCGCGAGCGATAAAGTTGCGATGAGCGTTGAAGCATTTAAATCCCTCACGAGCATAACCTTTGAACGAGAATCTCACGAACGATAAAACTTCGCTGCATGCGTCGTCGATTTGATCATTCGCGAACGTTAGTTTTTTGGGAACGCAAAATAAGCTCATGCGCTAAAATCGTATTTTTAATCGTTCGCGATTGATTAAAAAACGCTCTATTTTATGTTGCACATCCATTCGCTGTGTGTGTACACATTTACATATTTTCCTGCTTATGCATTCGGTAGCAGAGGGCTGCAATGAGTATGATTGAGTAGGCTTGATCACACACAGTGGAAATACAATCAAACTCAATCAGTCGGTCAGATGTAACATGGATAAACATGAGTTACTCAAGCCAAATGAAAAAGTTGTGATCAAACATGTATTGATCGAAGTTTTGTGTTCGCAATCAAACAGCTCACATAAGTTATTTGTTTACGAACTTATGATGAATTGTTCATAACGGGTCGATCATCTATGATGAGTCTGATCGGTTTGATTCATCCTAGTTGAGTGAGTGATATGATTTGATTAAAACACAAATGTTCGAATCTGAGCTAAATAATTGTAATTTTACTAAGCATTTCATAAAAGAAATTGGTACAAATTATATTTAATAAACAGACAATTTTTCATTTTATTTGGATTGTCGGTTTGTTAGACTTCAGTGACTTATTTTAAAAAACAAAATTAATATTTTTAATAAAGAAACACATCATTGGTATTTAGTAAACAAAAAATGTTTAAATATTTTTTATTTTACAATATTGGTCAATATTTTTCACAAACTTCAACTTTTGCGTTTACCTACACATGTGTAGTTTCTACTTGCAACAATTTCGGTCGCACTATCACAATATTCTTCCATTTCAAATATTATAGAAGTCAAAATAACCTGTCCCAACTTGATTGAATGGTTGAATAAAAAATGACGCTGAGCGAACTCGATTCAAAAAAACAATAATTTACATTCATGTGTTCGATCAATTCATTTCATTCAGATCAAAAATCATGTAAGAAACCGAGTATGGTTGAATTTTTGCATACTCGTTGCAGCCCTCTGTTCTGTACCCTATTGCTTTTGAGACGGGACTTAATTATGGTCCCTTCTAACATGCAATAACCTTTTCTTTTCCAATCGCCCAAGTTAAATGAAATACACCAGATAGTAAGAGAAAAATAACAGATTTTAGAAACTGTGTGAAAACATCACACGTCGATTTATATTTCATTAAGTATTGCAAACATAAAGATATAGTTTAAAAAAAAAAATCTATTATTCTAAATAGAAACTGAATAATATAAAATCAAATGAGCTCAAGCCTGAAGAAACTAATGTAAAAATTAAAAAAAAAAACATTTAGACCTGACATTTTTCCAGTCCTTACATTTGGCTTCAGCGTAAAAGAACAAAGGAGCGTAGGGCCAAAATCGAACTAAGTCAACATAAAACTCCCTTCGATGACTTTAGCCAGTCAAAAAAGCGTTTTATGTGTTCTCACCTTTACACTATTGCAGCTCTGGAACAAAGCACATGTTGGTGCACATTCATTTTTGTGTATAATATGAATTAAATAAAATAAACGAGAAATTAATTAAAAAAATTAGCTCTTTTTGTATTTTTTCTTGGTCTTGCAAAATATCCGCACTTAAACTATTATTTTTTTTATTTATCAGTGGTAATAATAACACTTATATTCCCATTGAATTGTATAACATTTTGGAAAACAATATCTAGAATTACTGTGCACACCTACTGTGCAAGCGCCATCCTAACAAATGACGAAAAGACGGTTCGAAATCTTCTAGGAATGCGTTTTGCACTCAAAACCACCGGTCCATTGCAATACATTCTGCCGCTTTTTTCTTTCATTTTGTACACGATCAACCTGAACCCCCTGCCAATAAAATTGCAAGAAAAATCGTCAATTTTTCAGAACAAAATCGAAATAATCGCCATTTGCATTTTTAAAAATCGGCAACGTAAAAATTACTAAATAAACACATATTTTGCTTTAAAACAAAACATGATTGTTTATATTATTAAAAAAAAAAAAACAGAAAATAAATATGTACAACTATGTAATTCAATAAAAAGAGAAAACTAATTCAGTTTTGCCAAAAAAAGTAAATAATAACAATAAAATACAAACATAAAATAATCTACAAAAATTTAGATATTTTAATATACAAAAAAAGTATATACATTTTTGGTATTAATTTTTGGCAATCTTTAGAATAAAGCATTCTTTCCAACGCATCATAATTTAACGAACTTCTATAATTTTTTGTACGAATTTAGACAAAATTGAAAAAGCCAGAGAGCTAACTACACGTTTTATTTCGGAATTTATTTTTTCCAAAAGCTTTTCAAAAATATTTTTAAAAATTTATTCAATGTTCAACTCCCTAAACTCGGATTCTGTTTGTAAAATAAATATAGGGAAATCTTTAAAAATATCTAACAAAACATTATTTCTCTTCTTCATTACTGTTTCCAGATCAATAGGTTTTAAACATTCAAATGAATTTAAATTAAAATCAAACCGTTTCAATAACTGATTTGCAACGTTCAGTCTAATGAAATTTTTTAAAATGCTCCTAAATAGTAACTCCATTTAGTTAAGTAAATTATGAATTTCTGTTGATTCTTGTTGTAAATTTGTAAATGTTATTATTGACATGGAGATTACACTAAAAAAAGGCATTGTATGTTCTTAAATGGCATTACCCATTTTTAAAGTGAAAAATCTCAAAATGGCAGCGCTGCCCCCTCCCTGCAAAGTTCTCAAACAACTCTTGATCTAGTGACTCAGCAGTGCTCCCACACAAAACCCAATAGTGAAGACCAGACTCCGTAAAAATAACCACAATTTTCAATTTTATGAATATCTCAAAGTTGTTAATATTTAGATCATTATAGATTTGAGTGACTTCAGTATTTTCACTCATACTCCTGAAACGACATAGACGACATCTGCTTATTCGAAGATTTTTTCTATGATAAGCCGTGAGAGCATTTCATTGTCTATTTATTCATTATTCTATGCTGGGAGTATTTTTGTTCGATTGGCTTCCTTACTTCTAGTCCCACGGTTGATCCGTCCAAAATTATGTTTCTTCGGGTTGAACTTCATTCCTCAGCGACGCATTTTGCTGTTTAGGATTTCAATACATGTTTAGGATGTTGATAAGTGTGCGGAGCTCAACATAATATATATATATGAATTTTAAAGCTGACGCTGGGGGATATTAAAGCCCTTTCAAAAGAAAGTTTTTACTAAACTGCATATTATCAAAAATATGGTAAAAGTTATTGTTTTTCAAAGTTAAAAATCCGAAAGAAAAAATTTTATAGAGTGACTGAATTTGCGACAACTTTCATCTTTAATAATTAGTAGGGATGTCACTGGTAAAGATTCCGAACGAATGTGGTTTTAATTCCGAAAATTGTCTTCGGTTTAAACCACTTTGGAAGTTCCAATTGAAATTGTATTTTTATGGTATACAAGTATCATTAAAACACTTTCAAGTAATAAAAATATGATAGCAGAAAAATACAATTAAATTTACTTTTTTTATTTATTTAAAATAATTAGCAAAATTTAATTGTTTCTCAATTGACGAAGCAAATTTTTAACATCATTTACGTTTTAATCATTTAGGGGCAAGCACAAAAGTTTATTTATTAGTTTCAATTAAACTTGTTATTAAAATGTTCACCTTGCACTGGGGTAGGACAAGTGGTCCGAAGCAAATTTGAAATTCATTACCGTTCATTACTTTGCGCCACAATTACAGACATTGTGTAAAAATTAACAAAATTAATTTTATTTTCGAAAAAAAAATCTTTCCACTTCTACAGTGTTTTCTAATCAAGTGGTTTGTTTTGATTTCTCATTCATTCGTTCCAAGGTCGGCCAAGAATACTACTTTGACATTGAAACTTAGTAGTTTTTGCCTTATTGAGATGTGACTCTCTTTGAATTTCAAAGCACAATATGTCTTTTGGCGGCAAACTTGATTGCCAGATGGGCTTACTGGCCGACCTTATGTGGGCCATGATTCGTTCTTTCATTTCTCTAATGATGCCGTATTTACATTGAATAATGAGATTTTCGTAATTCACCAAATCGATCGGAATCTAAAGATGCTAAAACAAAAACGATCGATTTTGAATTACGAAATTCAAACTATTCCGATTCGATTTTGTTGCATGCCTATATACATACATAGTTTTTAATAATATTATCATTCAAAATGCGTGTATTAATATATAAATCAATAAAATTTCTGATTTTATATATATGTAGAAATATTACAAACTCCCAATGCAATTGAAGTTTTTCTGGCGGAAACTACTAGGTAGCAGCATTTTTCCTTTTCAGTTAATTTTCAAGAGGAATCTTTGGTTTTAATAGCAAACCAGGGAAAAGTGAGAGATTCCACACGGAGTTTTTATTCATAATTTGACTGAAGTGTCGCAGCCATACCTAACCCTAAATTTACTAGCATAATTCATAAACAATAATATAAATACACGCTGTGCTTAGTTTTTTGCATTGCAGAATTTTTTGTTCAGTATTTCATTGTGAACATTTAAATAACAAGATTAATTTTAACTTATAAAAAACTAGTTGGCCCGGTCCACGTTGCCGGCCCGAAGTTTTAGTCTTTAATGAAAATTTTGGCTCATAAAGGTGCACAAATTTTATTATAAATATTAACTCGACTAAATAGAAATAAATACCTATGGAAGGAAGGAAAATAGTCGAAGTTAATTACGCTTTTACCATAGCACATAGCACATATACACCCACTACCATAGCACCTCAAATTGTACATTAGAGTACCCATAAAGTCTATGTTCTTGTTCATAGTAAAATTCAGTGACGATTAAACTATGCCCATGTGTTTGTCCGCCAATAGGTAACAATCACTATAGATCGGCGGACCTAGGGAATATATAGGGACTGTACCAAAATATCTACCTATGTTAAAATTTTTCTGTAAGATGGTTTTATACTCTCAAAGTAGCCTAAATTGATTGGAAAATGTGATCAAGACCCTCGAAATAGAGAAGCCAAGATGCTAAATAATGGCCAAATCCATAGAAAAACCTGGCTCAATGGTTATAATTTTCTGAAAGGAGATTTTCTTCAATTTCGTAGGATATGTATCCTTATTAAAATTAAAATTAATAGAAAAAAAAAAACAAATTTAAAAATCTTGAACTTGTTCGCGGATTTTTTACAGCAAAAACTATTCAAAAAAAAAAAAAAAAAAAAAACACTGCAAATGTACCTTTGAAAATAGTAGGTCAAATTAAAAAAAAAATCATGCAAAATAAAACATTAAAATTGTATATTCCAAAAGTGTTTCAAATTTATCATTTTACGTGATTTTCTTTTTTGGATTTTGAATCGTTAACATCAGACCAGCGGTTCTTGAGTTATAAGCGTAGTAACTAACTAATTTTCAGATTAAATGAAACCTTTTGCAATTGCAATGAAACTTTTTGCAGTGGAAATGAAACCTTTTGCCACCGAAATGACAACTTTTGCAACCGAAATGAAACTTTTTGCAAATCAAATGAAAATTTTAGATTTACAGAAGGAAAAGTTATAGAACATTTTATTTTTAGTAGGTTTAAAATTTAATCAACTAATTATAAGTAATATTTAGTTAAAGAGGAATTTGTATTGATTACTAATACCTATTTATTTATAATATTATTTCTTTACACTTAAAAAAATAACGCTCCCATAAAACGTAAGTGTAGATGCAGAAAGATTAAAAAAAATTTTCAAGGTCTTTCCTCCAAAAGACCCGAATTTGTTTCTCAATTGACGAAGCAAATTGATGCCACATCTTTTCTTTCTTTAAAATTAGATTTTTTCTTCCAATCTATTTGTGAAAACTAAATAATCTGGCCTTACGAATGGTAAATTGAAGCAAAGAAAAAAATGTAAAAAAGGAATTTGGTATATATGTATATATATATCTATATATATATATATATATATATATATATATATATATATATATATATATATATATATAAATTTTAAAGAAAGAAAAGACGTGGCATCAATTGCTTCGTCAATTGAGAAACAATTAAAATTTTCTAATTATTTTAACCAAAAGGAAAAAAATGTAAAATTGAACAACAAAAAAATGGAAATTATTCCCCCTTCCATTGTTAAATAAAACAATGTAAATCCACGTCTGGTTCCACATAATGGTTCCTCCAAATATTCGGTATTTTGATGATTTTAGCGTCATTATTCACCGTAGTAGTTTTAAATTACGTATTTAGAGTTCGCAATGGTAACTACAGTCTGTGACAGAAAATTGCCTATTGCCCTATAGGCCCCATATATAAGTACCTCGGTATTTTGACGATTTTAGGTACAATACTCACCGAAATTGTTTGAGATGTCGTATTTGAAGTTCGTAATGGAAGCTACAGCCTGTGACAGAAAATTGTCTTTGCAGGTCCAGGTCTTCCTTATATACGGTATTTTGGCTACATTATTCACGGGTTATTTCAAGTTTCGAATTTGAATATGGTAATGGCTTGTGACAAACTATCAATGTAGGTGCGCGTCGTAAAGACCCTAATATAATGGCTATATTCGGTATTTTTAAAATGTTAACAAATTTGTGGCGAATGTTATTTTTTTTCGAAAATTTTCAAATTCGTTCTAAATGGTGGAGGGTATTCAAAGTTCGGCTCGGCCGAACTTACTGCTTTTTTAACTTGTTATTACATGAAAGTGTTTTAAAGTTACAAGTTCCCAAAAAAATACAATCTCAATTGCGAATTCCGTAATTCTGAAGAAGCTAAATTAATTCCACTTTCGATTCTAATTCTAAGGGATTTTGGTTTGCTTCTTCAGTTTTCGATATTTCAATTAGTTTATCATATTAAAAGACACATCTCTGAAGCTATAGGCTGCTAGTCATTTCAAAGTGCAACAAGTTGTTTTGTTAATTTGACAATTTTTCAAAATTTTTAGGGTAATTGCAAAAATAACTACCCATTAACTTTGTAAACAGAAATTTTAATCTCAACAAAATTTTAAAATGCTGTTAATAGTTGATCGGTTCCAGAATCTTCTAGTTTCGGTATCTTAAAGAAAAATCGGCTATCGTGGTGAATATTTTAATTATTGCGTGTTCTGAAACAGGTCAAATATTTGATATTAAAGTACGTTTTAGTCAAGTTTTTTTTTATCCGAGTTGACCGAACAAAATAGCAAACACAAGGTAAATTAACTGTCTATTCAAAACAAAGTACCCACATCAAAAACTGTGTGTATTTTGTGACATTAGAAGGAAAAGTGCATTCAGATGTGTTATTAGGCCTGTCCCGTTAATTATTGTTCCATAGTTCCAAGCAATTCGAGATAAACAAAATTGAAATACCTTTTTCTCAAAACACTTAAATGGCGGATGTGTATATGTATGCCATCGAACTAAATCAATAGTAATTACTAATTTCAATATGGCTCTTCTCAATCGAACTCAGGATATGCAAATCGAATAGCCCAAAATGTTAATGCATATCTGATTTGTAATTGTTATTTTTGGATAGAGAATGATGGAAAGTAGCGCAAGGTAGTTAACGGAAGAAGCGCTAAGCTCTCGGCCCTTAAAAAGAACAATTTAACAAATAAAATAATTTTTTCCTTTTCTTTTTTTCTTTTTTAATGAAAATATAAGAATTAAGTAAAAGAAACACACAAACACATTAGAATCATTTATGTTAATGTACACCCAAATAAATAGTTAATAATACTCTTGTCTCTTTTCTTGTCTTTTTAATGTTTGCCATACCCCCATTCAACCAAAGATGGAAATAATGGAAAACGTTCAAAGTCCTGTATCGACACGCATTACACTTTTAGGCTTTTATGGCAAGAATTTATAGAGTAGTGATGGTGTCACTAAATATGAATTGTAATCCTTTAGAAAATTTGGAATTTGGAAATGCCTACATAACTATCTATGTAAGCATGTGTGTCTGTAAAGTTATACCCTATTTATATATGATGCCATATATTATACATACATACTTGATAAATACTCATAGAAATAATTTGTATCTATTTACATATGTATACAGATATTATTACATATTTCCGATAATAAAATATATATTATAAATTTTGAATAATTGTTAAAAGATAAGAGTTTGAAATTGATGACTTCAATTTGTTACTTAACTAACTTAAAAATATATTGAAATATGCTGAAATTTTTATACGAAATATCAGAACATGTGAATGTTGAGAAACACACATGCGAAAGACATACTCGAATGTAATAGTATGAGATTATATCTGTGTGTGCATATTGTCACGTAATAGCCTGTTTTGTGTCCTTAAAATATTTATATGATTTTCTGCAAATATTGTTCAGTGCTAATAGAAACAGTCTTAATTGTTATATTCTATTCTAATTATTTTGTAAGTGATTTCACTTTTTGAATGTGTAATAATGACGATATAATAATAAAGATATGGGTGAATCATACACAAATCAAATGTGTATTCAATTTCTTTTCTTGTCGATTACAAAAAGGTAAGCTGAAACAGATTGCGGGTTTTACATATGATATATGATATTTTTACAGCACAGGCCATTTGGCAACGCTACTAACATTAGATTAAATAAAATGTTAATTTCTAGATCGAAGGAGATTCTTAACTCTTTTTCAATCGAATGCAGATTATATTTTTGTTATTATTTTAATTCGCCGGTTGTCTCACTTATGTGTCACGGCGTGATGATGCTGGTGACTCTGCAATGGACGATGAAGCAGTTTTACAACGTTACCTAAAATTCGATGTTGCGTTCACAAATACGCAAGTGGCTATCGTTAGAGCACTCAGGCATTTAAATGTGAATAAATCTTTGTGTCTCATACCATCGCTCGTTACCGTGATGCTGCTAGCGTAGCCCGACGTCATGGAAGTGGACGAAAGAAAACAGCAACAGCAGCAATCAGCAGAAATGGTTGGAAAAGTAAAGAAGCGACTTGATCGAAACCCGCGTCGTAGTGGCCGAAAAATGACTCGTGAGCTGAACATATCGCAATATAGTTAAAAATGAGTTCGTGGTAAAGCCATTGAATTTCCAAAAAGCACAAGAACTTAAACCGCAACAGAAAGAAAATAGACTCAAAAGAGCTAAAGAGTTGCTTCGCTTGGCCGAAAGTGGTGAACTGCCGAATTTGGGTTTCTCCGATGAGAAAGCATAAACAAACAAAATGATCGTGTTTACTTGCCAAAGAGGTCAGCTGAAAATGTGCACCTTCGGTTGGCCATAGTGCTGATGTGGGCCACCATAACAACCCATGTTCGCTCTCTGCTCGTATTAATCGACCGTGGCATCAGAATAAATGCCGAATATTATCGCAAAAATATTCTGGAAGGTGTATTAAAGCCTTGGGTACGCAAACATTTTGGCCGCAGACCTTGGACATTCCAACAGGACTCAGCACGCGCCACCCAAGAATGGTTACAAAATGAGGTTGCTCGCTTCATTTCCAGCGCACAATGCTCACCAAAATCTCCGGATACCAATCCGTTGGACTATTCTATCTGGAGTATTTTGAAAAGCAAGGTTGGCACAAAAAAATACCAAAGTGTCGATCACATCAAGCAAGCACCTCTCCAGGAATGGGCCAAAATACCGCAGAGCAACATTCGGGCAGCGTGTGACGGTTTCATTGGTTGTTTGAAGGCCACAATTCGTGTCAAAGGTGACCAATTCGAACAAATCTAAACTTATTCTAAAATTTGATGCTATTTCCGAAATTTTTTGCTTTCATAAAAAAATAAATAAATTAAAAAAATGCAACAATTATGGCGTTTAACTTTGTTGCAGTTTTTTACCTCACCCTGTATATCGCATTTTCAAATTAAAAGATACCTTTTGCAATTGGAATAAACCTTTAGCAACGGAAATGTAACTTTTGAAAATCAAATAAAACTTATAAATTCATAGAAGGGAACATAATAAATCATTGTTATTTGTAGGAGGTATAACATTAGATCAACTAATTATCATGGTACAATGAATTCAAGGTAGGGCAGAACTACCATATGATTTAAATTTTTTATTTTTCTGGCTTAATATGTCAACTTCATTTGCTTATGTGTGTGTCTTCTTTTCAATAATAAAAAATTGTTCAGAAAATATTCAAATTCGGGTGTTTCAAAATGCTTATTGCAACGAATGCATCGACAAAATCTACAGTTTTTGTCGCGAAATAAACCATAAGAGATATATAGAACACTAGCTGAACCCGGTGCGCTTCGCTACCCCTTTTGATTTTATATGCATTCGAAATTTTATTTACGAACATATGTTGGTTAAAAAAAAAAAAACAAATTAAAAATTAAAAAAAAAATATTGCACCATTTTAATGCGTAAATAACCAAAACCATTAGAAAGCAGTAACATGACATACATACACGAAGGGTTTGTCTTTCGGATTTATTTATTTCATAGCAAATACCAAGCGTGCAGTAAACTGCAATCTTTTGAATTTGAGTGTCATTTCTATTGCAATTAGTGAATTCGAGATAGCAACATACTTCGCCGTAATAAGCGTATTTCAAATCAATTTTTGTGTTGTTTTTAGTGTTAGCCTAAGGCGTTGTGGGTCAATGGTTCTTATTAAAATCATGTCCCAATCTGATCCGATTTAAATATAATTTAAAAAAAATACTTTTACACCAAACTCCGCCACACCTTTCATATTTCATTGAAATTGGTGCGTCCAATATGTGAAATCATAACTAATTTCCAATTAATTTCTCACATTTATTATTGTAACCAAATTCCGCCACATATTCTGAATTTCATTGGTATCGGTCATATATATCATGTTTGGTGCATAACATGTATGAAATCGGCCGAAATATATATGCTAACTATATTCAAACCTCAACTGATCAATATAATTTGGCAATTTTTTCTGGTGCCAAATTTTGTCTCTCTCGCTTTGGGTGCATCAAATATGTGAAATCGGCTGAGTATATATATATGGGAGCTATAATCAAATCTGAGCGTATTTGAATATAATTAGTCAAATTTATTTTTGTACCAAATTTAGCCACTCATGCCGAATTTCATTGGAATCGGAAATACGTATCGTGTTTTGTGCTTTAAATATGTGAAATCGGCGGAAAATATATATGGGAGCTATATCCAAATCTGAACCGATTTTAATATAATTTGACTAATGTATTTTCTAATCAAAATCCCGTTACATATTCCAAATTTCTTTGGAATCGAACATACATATCGTGTATGGTGCATAGAATACATGAAATCGGCCGAAAATATATATGAGAGCTATATCCAAATCTGAACCGATTTAAATTTAATTTGACAAATTAATTTTGGCTCCCAATTCCGTTACTTACTTTAAATTTCATTACAATTGGAAATACATATCGTGTTTGGTCCACCAAATACATGAAATCGGACGAAAATGTATATGGGAGCTATATCCAAATCTGAACCGATTTCAATATAATTTGGGAAATCAATTTTTAGATAAAATCTATCACACGTTTCAAATTTCATTGAAATTGGGGATACATAGCGTGTTTGGTGCATCAAATGCTTGAAATCGGCCGAAAATATATCTGGGAGCTATATCCAAATCTGAACCGATTTCAATATAATTTGACAAATTTATTTTCGGATTAAATCCCGTCACACATTCCAAATTTCATTGGAATCGAACATTCATATTGTGTTTGAGGCATCAAATGAAAAAAATCGGTCGAAAATATATATGGGAGCTATATCCAAATCTGAACCGATTACAATATAATTTGGCAAACTTATTTTTGTTCCAAATTCCGTTACGTATTCCAAATTTGGAGACTGTATCTTCAACAAATCAGTAGATATGTGCATATAAAATCTAAATTTTTGGGAGGTACCTCCGATTCTGATGCTATATCTCCAGTTCCAAGTGGAAATTCAAAAATGTATATAGCCTATGTTACTTTCAGGCGATGTTGCAGTATACATGGAAATTTCAGGAAAATCTATTCAGCGGTTTTCGAGTCCATAAATTACAAACAAACAAACATACAAACATTTTCCTCTTTTATAGATATAGATGATATTGAAAAGAAATTTTGACCATTCATTCAGTTTTCGCGGTTTTAAATTATTTATTCAAAATCAATGCAACAAGTCGTTTGCTTTTTTATTGTTTTGATAGTAATTCTGACATTACAAGCCAAACAGGTCGACCGCTATACTTGCAATTTTTTCAAAGATGACCTACCTTCTCTTCATTGTACCATGCTAATTATTACTAACAACTATATAATAGTGTTTGAGTTTTGCATTGTTAAGGCGAAGATCATATGTTTATAATTTACGTGTTAATTTCACTTCCGAGACGAGACGAAAGGAGTTGGCCGGGGCGCGAAAATGTCTGGTTTTATTGATGTATCTTGCATGGCAGAAGATGTGTGTGTGTGCAAAATTTTTTTATCTTTGACATATCAATGTTCTCAAGTATTGATGCACCTACCTGTATACTTCTACTATGTGTTTACTAACATCTTTAAATAGCTGTAAACATAAACACACGAAAACGAATACAAGCCTTTGGAAAAAATAGTCAAATAAAATGACTTTAATTAATATAAATTGTTAATTATATATATATATAGCTGAACCCGGTGCGCTTCGCTACCCCTTTTGATTTTATATGCATTCAAAATTTTATTTACGAATATATGTTGGTTAAAAAAAAAACAAATTTAAAAATTAAAAAAAATTATTGCACTAATTTAATGCGTTGATAAACAAAATCATTACAAAAGCAGTAACATGACATGCATACATGAAGGGTTTGTCCTCTGGATTTATTTATTTCATAGCAAATACCAAGCGTGCAGGAAACTGCAATTTTTTAAGTAGAGTGGCATTTCTATTGCAAATAAGTTAATTAGAGATAGCAACATACTTCGCCGTAATAAGCGTATTTCAAATCAATTGTTGTGTTGTTTTTTAATGTTAGCCTAAGGCGTTGTGGGTCAATGGTTCTTATTAAAATCATATCCCAATCTCCGATTCCCAATCCGATTTAAATATAATTACAAAAAAATTACTTTTACACCAAACTCCGCCACACCTTTCATATTTCATTGAAATATGTGAAATCGGCCGAGAATATATATATGGGAGCTATATCCAAATCTTAACTAATTTCCAATTAATTTGTCACATTTATTATTGTAACCAAATTCCGCCACACATTCTGAATTTCATTGGAATCGGTCATATATATCGTGTTTGGTGCATAATATGTATGAAATCGGCCGAAATATATATGTTAGCTATATCCAAACCTCAACTGATTTTAATATAATTTGGCAATTTTTGCTGGTGCCAGATTTTGTCTCTCTCGCTTTGGGTGCATCAAATATGTGAAATCGGCTGAGTATATATATGGGAACTATAATCACATCTGAGCGTATTTGAATATAATTTGTCAAATTTATTTTTG